TGTGAGTGAGTTTTGTATATAAGATGTGTGAGTCTTGTGCGTAAGGTGCGTGAGTTTTGTGCTTAATGTGCATGGGGTTGTACTTAATGTGAGTAGTTGTTAAAACTTAAAGTGTTGACTTTTGTGCTTAAGGTGCGTGAGATTTGTTCTTAATGTGAGTGGAGTTTGTGCTTAATGTGTGTACAAGAATTAGTGGTGTCGTGTGCGTTTGTCTGGTCGTCGGTGCAAAGAACATTGTGGTGTGTGCGTAACATTCCTTTGTGCACTTGTTGTACAGCTCTCACCAAAAAATAATTACTACTTATTACCATTAATATTCTCTCTATTATTATGCTAAAGATTTCCATTTAATTCTAACCAAAATTAACACACTACTAGAATTACTTTTTAACCCTTCTGAGTATAATATGTCCTTAATTACTTCATATTTCTCATTCAATCACAACCATCCATTTGAAATGTATTAATGGATAGGATGAGATCTAATGATCTCATTTAACATGTGGGTCTCATGGGTTCCGCACCCTATATATATCTATATATCTATATATATATATATATATATATATATATATATATATATATATATATATATATATATATATATATATATATATATATATATATATATATATATATATATATGGACGCACTCAGGTGCGAATAAGTGTCCAGGAAAGAAATGCGAACGAATCAGCGCGTGACACGTGTCCAGATCTAATAACTTAAAAAAAGTGCGGTGGCATTTTCGTAAATAATTGAACATCGAAGTGCAAGTAAAATCTCTTATAAGTGCACCTATTTTCACCTATAAGTGCATGTAATTTTGCCTTGTTAGCATTCACTTTCCGCAACCATTCATGCACCTGGGTGTGCTTATAACTATGTGTGCAACTTTTATAACTATAGGTGCAACTACTTATAACTATATGTGCACATACTTTCACCTATAAGTGCATGTAATTTTGTCTTGTTAACATTCATTGATCTGAGTTCAGCGGGTAGTAATACTCCTGAAAACCACTCGCAAACATTCATACACCTAGATGCAACTACTTATACCTATGTGTGCAACTACTTAGAACTATAGGTGCAACTACTTAGAACTATAAGTGCAACTAAGTATTGATGCTCAGTGTAAATTTTTACTTACACCTATAATACATTTTACATGAACTTGTAATACATTTTACTTGCACTTCGATGTTCAATTATTTACGAAAATGCCACCGCATTTTTTAAAAAAATCAGTGTTTCTCATCCATTAGATCTGGACACGTGGACGAACAGAATCCATTCCTATTTCGCGCCTGGGCGAGCCGTTCGCACCCGAGTGCAACTATATATATATATATATATATATATATATATATATATATGATCATATGAGAACACTTGCTTAGGTGAGAACGTGAGAACAAATTGTGTGCATCCATCTAATAATTTGTAATGGTCTAGATTAGATTAAGTGTGTGCGAACGCGAATTAAATGTGTGCAAACGCGATTAAGTGTGTTTGCACACATTTAATTCGCGTTCACACACACTTAATCTAATCTAGACTACTAAAAAATATTAGATGGATGCACAGGATTTGTTCTCACGTTCTCACATAAACAAGTGTTCTCATTGGAACCCTACTCTCTCTCTCTCTCCCTATGTGTGTGTGTGTGTGTATATATATATATATATATATATATACATATATATATATATATATATATATATATATATATATATATATATATATGATCTCAACCACTCAGTGAGATTCATCACTGACCGATGATTTTAGTAAAAATAATACGTGATTATTTTTATAATTATTACAAATGTTCAAGTTTGTAATCTTTATAAAATTGACCTCACTTCCTTTCTCTTTATTTTTCAACAACCTTCAACTATTAACCTATACGTACAAATGGATGAATAAAATCAATCATTACTTTTTACACGAAGCCTGTTTCACATGAACCTTCTCCTATATATTAGAATTTGTATCTTTTAATGTAACTTTGTATGATAAATTTGTAATTGATGAGCTAGTCATTTAATTCATGAGTCACTAATAAATATAATGAGAAAAATATAATAATGATATACATATATATATATATATATATATATATATATATATATATATATATATATATATATGACTATACGTCATGGTACAAAATTTAATACAAATAATAGTATACTTTTCTATATAGAAAATGAGGCATTATATGAACATGGTACATACTTGTATTGTTGGTTATGCTTTTATCTAATTAACTCACAAGATAAATTCAGTATGCAAAATAAAACAAAAGAAAAGCGAAATTATGAATAATTTTAATTATAAATGGATAGAAGTTTATAGTTTGTTTCATCATTTAAAAATAAAAAGAATTATATTTCAATTTTGATTGGTTTACTTAGCGTATATTTGAAAATTAATTAATATATATTAATTAAAATGAAAAAAAATACCCACATAGTGTAATTATTGTGTGTATATTAATATATATAATAAATTCATTATTGTTGAGAGTGAAATTTTAACAAACTAAAAAACGTGGGGGAAATAGAGGGATATGAATTGAGAAGTCTAGATTCCAGAAGCCCGAAAAAAAAAAAAAAAAAAAAAAAAAAAAAAAAGAGCTAGAAAAACAAAAGTGTATAAGATATATTATATATAATTAGGGCCGTTTCAATACAAATAGAGGCATCTAATTTTGGGTCCCTTTTAACAAGAATATCTATTAATCTAGAATCAAGAATATATCAATTTTTTGGATCATATATATCTACTATCTACTTCTAGTATCTACCAATACAAATCTAATATGAGCCAATATTATTAGACCTTTAAGTAGAACAAAGAAATGTCCGTGTAATTGTTTCTTGAAATGAGTGGTTCATATTATTTTAATTTTAGTATTTTTTGTATGATTTTTCTTATTTAAACTTTAGTAACGGAATATTCCGTTAACTATTTGTTATTCTTAACTTATTCATAAGTTTCTATAAGAAGGGTCTTAGGTTCGAACCTCATCCCAATCAGAGTTGGCATAATTGTTAAATATATATTACAAATATGTTAAAATATACGGAGTATTAAAAAAATAAATACAATATAAAATTTAACATAAACTTTGGTCAAATAATTAGCCCGACTAAATACAAAACATTCAAAGTGAGTATCGTCAAAGATTATAAATCATGAATTTTGAAAATCATTTTCTTGCATTAAAAAAAAAAACAAATTTAAGTTAAGTTTTTTTTTTTCGTTTAATTAATCTACGTTTGATTATTTAGAACAAAACTCAATATTTCAATTATGTTTTTTTTTTTTTTTTTTTTTTTTTGCATTATTGGAATGATTTAGGTCATTATGGTATTAATATTTTTTATGTCTTTTTATAACGGTACAATTGTACATTACTTTATAAATATTATACTATTATTTTTTTTATTGAACAAAATTGTTCTTACATCATTGTTAGACCTACGCGACCTAATTACAAAGTTGTTGATCAGAAATACAATTACACCTGGACTCTAAAACGATAGGACAATTTTTCAAAGAATTGACAATGTTAAATCCCACTGACTCAAATTGAACAAGTTTACACATAATTCTTAGAATTTTATCAATGTATGAAAGCTTCTAAAAAGATTTGTAAGTTAATTTTTATTATATCATTATAAAAATATCTATTGTAACAATATATTTTGAATTATTTATTATCATCATCTATTAACAGGAATTGTAACATTCATTGACAAACTCCCAAAACAATTTGTCTCAACAACGAATGTAAATTAAAAAAAAAATCAATGACTTTAATGTTGTTGATGAAAAGTATGTACACCACTTTATTACTCTTATTAAATTAAATAAATTGGTAGCTACAACAAAAAATAATGCATATGCATTTAATTAATTTAGAATTAGATGTCTATAATGTCATTATTCAAAAAAAAATTATTTATTATAAAAACTTTAAAAAGAGATATTTCTTTTGAAAGTCGTAAGGCATATATTAACAAATGAGGGAAGCTAAACAGTCAGGAGGGACATAGTCCCAATACATAGGGTGTTCCTGATCAAAAGCTACTGTAGCTAAAGTACGAGCATGTAAATTAAGCAATCTAGAAATAACATTCAGCGAGTAAAAAGAAAATAGGGCTAAAGTCGTCCGGCATTGGTCCTCCACCACCCCCACATAGGATAGTATAGTTGTAGGGCCAGAAAGTAAGTGGCTTCGGAGCTCTGAGCAATCTGTCAAAAAATCCACGTCCAATTCATTCCGCTCCCTTAGCCAAGATAAGGCTTTCTTGCAGGCTAGTGCCTCCGCCATGAGAGGCGAGAAACAACCTTCTAGTTTTCCATTCATTGCCGCTTTGAATGAGCCATCCGGGTGCAAAAGAACAACATCGTACGTTGCATCTCCCGAGTGCGGTCGGTATCCTCCATCGAAATAACATAGCGGTCGGCCTTGCGGAGCTGGCGGTGCCGAGGGTTGGCCATGGCAGTGCGCTGGACCATTTGCGTGGATATAGGCTGCCAATGCGGCAGCCGCCCGCCTCCATACTCCATCCGGCCGCGACAGCGATCCCCTCCACACGACATCGTTCCGGGCGGTCCACAGGTGATACAGGACTGCTACGATCATGCCAAATTGCTCCTCTGTTAAATTTGCCATAACGCTCATTAACCATACTGGGAAAGAAGAAGCAATAACATGTGTAATAGGCAAACCTGAAATATTCCACACTATTTTAGAATAGACACATGAAATCAGTGTATGCATAGCATCCTCATGTAATAAACCACACATAAGGCATGTTGGGTCTACTTCTACCCTCATTATAATCAGGTTATTCATAGTAGGGAGAATATCACATAGACCTCTCCATAAAAAAAGTTTTCCATTTCGGGGAAACCTTTAATTTCCATAATGTGATCCATTTATCAAAAGTACCAGGATCATGTTCATAATCCCCAACAATCTACCTATATGCACTCTTAACAGAATACATTCCCCTCTGGTCCCTGTACCAATACCAAGTGTCCTCATAATCCGGACTTACAGGGATCCTGGAAATACGAGCCACATCATCTGGGTCAAATAAATCATTTAAAATATAGGGATCCCAGGTCTTCGTCTGTTGGTCAATTAAACCCACCACTCTAGCTTCCCGCAGTTCCACAGGCATTATCGTTTGTATTAAGGGACTAGGATCATCTGGTAACCAGGGATGTCCCCCGATCAACGTATTCTCCCCATTTCCTACTCTTCTCCGAACCCCAGAGCAAACCATACCATGTGCCGCCATTATACTCCGCCAACAATAACTTGGGCAATTCCCAATCTTGGCATCAACAAAAGAGGTCGTCCGGTAATACCGTGCTTTATAATTCCTGGCAGCAAGAGTGGTTGGATTAGTGAGAAATCCCAATGCCTGCTTCCCCAACATAGTCAGGTTGAAAGCAGGAAGATCCTTAAAACTCAAACCCCCATACTTTTTAGGGACACATAACTTATCCCAGGCCTTCCAATGGATTCCTTTATCCATTCCTTTCCCCTACCAGTACTGGTTCATTGTTCTCTCAATAGATAAACAAACTGATTCAGGTAGCAAAAAAATACTCATTGAAAATGTAGGCATAGACTGGGCCACACTTTTCAACCGTACTTCCTTCCCAGCCTGGGACAATAACTTTTTATTCCATGAACCAATCCTCTGCCTGATTTTATCATCCACATAGGAAAAAACTGCTCTTTTATTTCTCCCAATAAAAGATGGTAGACCCAGGTACTTACCAAAATTGGGAGCTTGATCCACCCCTAAACAATCCGCCACCACTTCTCGCTCTTCCCATGCAGTATTCTTGCTGAAAAAAATGTTAGATTTATGATAATTAACCATTTTCCCAAACAACTTTTCATACCTCATCAAACATTGCTTTATCACACTGGCCTCCTGAAAATTTGCCTTAAAAAACAATAAACTATCATCCGCAAAGAAAAGATGCGATACGGGGGGGGGGGGGGGGTGCTCTAGCTACTCTGCATCCGTGTATAGATCCCGCTACCTGAGCTTTCTGCAATAGCAAAGGTAATTCCTCTGCACAAATAATGAACAAATAGGGAGAGAGGGGATCACCTTGTCTGATACCCCTTGTCGGAACTACCTGTCCCCATGGCGCACCTTATACGTCACTGTTGTTACACACAGCATAATCAAATCAATCCATCTCCTATCAAACCCCATAACTTCCAACATCCTTTTCAAAAAAGACTATTCCATTCCGTCATATGCCTTTGCCATATCCAATTTTAAGGCCCCCCTCCCAACCCTACCACACTGCTTCCTATTCAAATAATGACCAACCTCCGAAGCTACCAGAATAATTAATCTCCCTGGAATAAAAGCACTCTGGGATTCCGAGATTAGATCTCCCATAAACGGTTTCATCCGGTTTGCTATCATCTTAGCCATAACTCTATAAAGCACATTACTCAAAGCAATCGGTCTCATATCTCACACCGTCTCAGGCTCATTTTTCTTAGGAATTAAAATCACATTTGTATCATTCAACCCATGTGGAAATCTCCCTGAATTAAGGGAATTTACAATGAACATAGACAGATCCTGCCCAACTACTATACATCCCAAAAATGCTGGTAGAATCCTGGATTCATCCCATCCGGCCCCGGGGCCTTATCAGGAAGCATAGAAAATACAACTATTTTGACCTCTTCAGTATTAAAGGGGCGCATTAACTCAGTATTATGGGTCAGGGAAACCCGTGGAGTAAAATCATCAAATAAGGGATCACTGCATACAGAATTACTAGAGGCCTTTAAAAAGAGATATAATTTCATTAGTTATATTATATTTATTTTCTACAACCTTCAAAAAAAAATATTTATTTTCTACAATTCAAAGATTCCTTACCTTCAATTCAAATTCATTAATTAATTATATTCACTACATTTCCCATTGTCTTCTTTTTACATTATCGTGTAATTAAATATCAAAGTTATGCCAAACACCTTGTGCTCAGATCGCAGGTAGTGACTATCCCATATGGGAGGTTGAGATCGAGCCTCAGTGGAGGAGGTGTTGACTCTTTTTGCTTCAACAGGTTGAGAAAATATAGATGAACAAATACTACAATGTAATAGAGTCAGTAGCTTTAAAAAAAATCAAAGTTATAATACAAAATATGTTATATATTTATTTACTAAGTATTTTATAAAAATATAATAAATATTAATATTTTATTCAATACATTCACATGATAATCTATGACACACATCTCACAACACATGAAACATGTAGGGAAATACTACCACAACCAAATATCAATATGCACTTGCATGTAAGATAAAAAGTTCATAGTACAACTAAGATTTCAGTCATATACACAGCAAGGAAAATCTAAAACTTTCAACACCATAATCTCATTGCATGATGGTGCTATCTATGCTACCACCAGTAACCCAATTGCACATGACATACTACCAATAAAAAAAAAAAAAAAAAAAAAAAAAAAAAAAAAAAAAAAAAAAAACAAGAGGACATGACATGTACTGAAGATGAAGACAATGATAATGCTACCTAAAAGAGAATTAAGAAGACTTAGAAAAATTTAAACCAAAAGTGGTATTTATTTAGACTATCGCTTTTAGACTAGCGTTATTACAAAGTTGCAAACACTTATTATAGTGACAATTATAATCATTCTCTCATATATTATCTTGCATTTATATAATTTAAACAAATTCAACATTCAATTACCTATGCAATAACATCTCCTATATAATATTGCATTGATATACTTTGAAGTACTTATTTAAAAATAATTATTGGGCATTATTCCATTCGCGCAATGCACGTAAATATATATATATATATATATATGTATATATATATATATATATATATATATATATATATATATATATATATATCTACTATACTAATAAGAGCCCAAGAGAGTTAGGCCTATAATGGGTAGAAAAAATGGCAGTCAAGTTTTTTAATCAAATGAATGGTTCAGATTGATTAGATTTTAATTTTTCCTTGAGATTTCCTAATTTATCCTTAATTAATATGATTATCCGTTAACTTTTCTGTTAAATATTATCTTTTCTGTTAGTTCACAGTTAACTTACTCATTGATTTTAATAAGAAAGGTCTCAGGTTTGAACCCCATCCCAATCAAATTAAAGTTGACATAATTAGTACTCTATTTTACTCTTATTAAATTAATATGATTATCCGTTAATTTTTCCGTTAAATATTATCTTTTCCGTTAGTTTCTGTTAGTTCACCGTTAACTTACTCATTGATTTTAATAAGAAAGGTCTCAAGTTCGAACCCCATCCCAATCAAATTAAAGTTGGCATAATTAGTACTCTATTTTACTCTTATTAAATTATATAAATTAATAATTTAGTAGCTATATAAAAAAATAATACATATGCATTTCTTTAATTTAGAATTATGTGTGTACTATGTCTTTATTCAAAAAAAGTAATTATTTATTATCAATAAATTAAATAAGAGAAATAATTTCATTAGTTATATTGTCTTTATTTTTTCTAATGTAAATATTCTTTACATTCAAATTAATCAATTAATTATATTCACTACATTGTCTATTATCTTTGTTGTGCACTATTTTTTAATTAAATATCAAAGTTATAATACCAAATAATGCTATATATTTATTTACCAAGTATTTTATTAATACCATGAAAAAATTAAAAATGAAAGAAACATAATTAATAAAGCCAGTCATATTAACTACTTGAGAGATTAGTTGACAAAGAGAGTATTCAAATCACACAACAAATTGAAGTAAGAACTACATCGCAATGTCCTTGTTTGATAATCAGCAGTTAGCGGTTAACGTTAGCGGATTTGACCAACGAATTATATTAACGGTTGGTAAAAAGATAATCTAAACGACTAATTTTTTCAAATAATAATAATAATAATAATAATAATAATAATAATAATAATAATAATAATAATAATAATAATAATAATAATAATAATAATAATAATAATAATAATAATAATAATAATAATAATAATAATAATAATTGTTATAACAAAATTTTTTTAAAAAAAGTATAATTAAGCCAATCATATTAACTACTTGGGGGATTTATTGACAAAAAGAGTATTCAAATCACACAACAAATTGAGGTGAGAAACGATCTCGCAATGTCCTTGTTTAGCAATCAGCAGTTAGCCCTTCAATATTAGTATATATTTAATATTTTATGCTCTAATTTTTATTTGCTCTCCCTTATTTTCCGTATTTGGTGTCAACCATATGCATACAACTATTTTATTGACAATTATTATAATTAATCTTCTCCCAATTATAATTAATCTTGACTATATTATCTTGCATTTGTAAACTTAGAATTACCTATTTAAATATGCAAATTCAACATTTAATTATCTATGCATGAACAATTCTAATATAATCTTGCATTGATATACTTTATAGTACTTAAATATATATAAAAAAATATATATAATTAATAAAGCCAATCATATTAACTATTTGAGGGATTTGTTGACAAAGAGAGTATTAAAATCACACAACAAATTGAAGTGAGAACTACCTCGCAATGTCCTTGTTTGACAATTAGTAGTTAGCGGTTAGCGTTAACGGATTATATCAGCAGATTTGACCAGCGAATTATATCAACGGTTGGTAAAAAGATATTTCAAAAAATTAACTGTTTAGATTAACATGTAAAATGACCTAAAGTAGTTACCTTGATATACTTTATAGTACTTATTTAAAAAAAAAAAACATTGGGCATTATCTCAATCGCGCAATGCGCGTAAAAAACTAGTATATATATATATAAGAGCCAAAAAGAGTTAGGCCTATAATGGGTAAAAAAAATGACGGTCAAATTTTTTAATCAAATGAATGGCTCAGATTGATAAGATTTTAATTTTTCCTTGAGATTTACTAATTTATCCTTAATGAATATGATTATCTGTTAACTTTTCCGTTAAATATTATTCTTTTCCGTTAATTTCTGTTAGTTCATTGTTAACTTACTCATTGTTTTCAATAATAAAGGTCTTAGGTTCGAACTCTATCCCAATCAAAGTTGACATAATTAGTACTCTATTTTACAAATATAATAAAGGACTTTCGGCTTGGCTTAGCCCAAAAAGGTCCGTTAAACTCTTGTGTTTGTTTATTGGCTCTCCCTGCAATCACTTTATATCGGCAATTTATATCCTACACCACGGCGCGCGTTGCACTATGCGCCCAGATGCAAAACGACGTCGTTTTAATTTTTTTTTTTTTTGAAATTTCCCGCCTCAGTGAATGGCAGTAGTTTTTTCTTTAAAGAAAAACCCGCTGTTCAAGAATGTACATAATGTTATACTAGAATACACATAATGTTATACATGAATGTACATAATTATATAACAAAATATACATACTCTTTTTAAAAGATAATACACATAATCTAACATAATACATAATAAACATAAACTTTTAACATAATACACATCAACTCTTAACATAATACACACAAATTTTCTGATTCAGATGTACATAATTGTATAAAAAGAATGTACATAATTGTATAAAAAATACACATAACTGTATGAACCAATACACATAACGTTGTGAACAAATACACATAACGTTGTGAACAAATACACATAATCTCAGCAACTTCCTACCGCGCCTCCCAACACTACCCCAAAACGACGTCGTTTTGGGAGGCGCGCGGCGCACAGTGCTATGTGCGCCGTGGTGTAGGATATAACGATTGCTTTATATCATTCATATCTCTCTATAGAAATTTCTATTTATTAATTGGGTTAATTAATTCGGACCCCTCGGTTAATTAATTACATCATTGGTGCTCTTGTTGAGAGCGACTGTACAGGCTCAAGCGTGCTCTCTACTTTTAGTCTAACATGACTACCACGATCAACTATCACATTCACAATGGTGTTGGAATGGCGGCAACCCTTTTGAACATCGATCCATAGAGATCACGACGCCTCTACCACCGCCATCAAGGCCACCCTCATGCTGGCCAAGGAAATCCAGTTGATGAGCAACGGCGTAATCCCCGATGTTCCTGAAAACCGTGAATAGTGGGAAAAGCGTGTTCTCCGATCCGTTCGTGTTTAGGCATCCTCGCCGGAGAGATCTGTCATCACAGTTTTTCGAGGTCCTTATAATAGGTTGTTGGCAACAT